TATGTCTGTTAAACATCCAAGAAGGTTAGTTCCACCATTCTGGCATTTTTAATTACTGTGTGTCTTGCAGATAAATGTTGGGTAATGACCAGTTGGTCTCAAATAAACCTTATCTAGAGATATATTCCTTGATCTGTTATATATAATTTGTCAGTAGATTGTAGAATAATATGGTTCCCTCTGGTTTTTGTGACTAGCTAGGCATTGTTTCTCTCTTGTATCGTCTCACCCCTCTATCATGGTTTTCCCACTTAAGGTGCCCCCACTTCCCCCCCTTTCTTCTTTGAGGCTATTGTGAAGGGGAGTGTTTCCCCTTCACTGAGTGTTTCTCAGATTGCTTGTTACTGGTATATAGAAAGGATACTGATTTTGTAGACTAATTTTGTAACCTGCCACTTTACTCAAAGTGTTGATCAGGAGGTCTAGGAGTTTCCTGGTGGAATTTTTAGGATCTCTTAGGTATACTATCATATTGTCTGCAACAAGGGATAATTTGACCTCATCTTTTCCAATTATTACTCCTATAATTTCCTTCTCTTGTCTTATTTCTCTTGCAAGAGTTTCAAGTACTATGTTGAAAAGGAGTGGAGATAGTGGACAGCCTTGTCTGGTTCCTGATTGTAATGGGAATGCCTCCAGGTTTTTTTCCATTTAGAATGATGTTGGCTGTGGGTTTCTTGTAGATAGCTTTAATTACATTGTGGTATGTTCCCTCCAGTCCAATTCCCTTTAGAACTTTTATCATGAATGCATGCAGAATTTTGTCAAAAGTCTTTTCTGCATCTATTGAGATGACGATGTTTTTGTCTTTATATGATTTATGACATTTATTGACTTGCATATATTGAACCATCTCTGGAATAAAGCCTACTTGATCATGGTGAACGATCTTTTTGATGTACATCTGTCTGCAAGCATTTTGAGAATTTTTGCATCTGTGTTCATTAAGGATTTGGTTCTACAGTTTTCTTTTGTGGTTGTGTCTTTACCTGGTTTGGGCATTAGAGTGATGCTGGCTTCATAGAAGGAATTTGGAAGGTCTCCCTCTGTTTCAATCATTTAGAATAACTTAAATAGTACTGGTTGGAATGGAAGCCTTCTTTAAATGTCTGGTAGAAGTCTGCTGTAAATTCATCTGGGCCTGCGTATTTTTTAGTCCAGAGGTTTTGTATTGCTGTTTCTATTTCCTTAAATGTTATGGGCCTGTTCAAGCTGTTGATCTCTTCTTGGCTTAACTTTGGTGGGTCTCATGATTTCAGATATCCATCCATTTCTTTCAGGTTTTCAAAATACTCCCTTATAATGTTCTGGATCTTTTGGGTGTCTGTTATGATGTTTCCCCTTCTCTCATTTTGTTGATTTGGATTTTCTCTTTCTTTCTCTTAGTTAACTGGGCTAAAGGTCTATCTTGTTTAGTTTTTCAAAGAACCACCTGCTAGATTCATTGATTCTTTGTATTATTTTCTTTGTTTCTATTTCATTAATTTCTGCTCTGATTTTTGTTATTTCTCTTTTGCTGGGTTTGGGTTTCATTTGCTGTTGCTTTTCAAGTATGTTGAGTTGCAATTTTAAGTCATTTATCTGTGCTCTTTCTGATTTTTTAACGTAGGTACTTAGAACGATAAACTTCCCTCTTAGGACTGCTTTTTAAAGTGTTCCAGAGGTTTTACTGTGTTGTATTACCCTTTTCATTGAATTCCAGGAGTAGTATTCTTTCTTAATTTCTCCTTTGACCCACTCATTATTCAGGCATGTGTTGTTTAATCTCCATGAGTTCATGTGGTTACTAGGGCTTCTTCTAGTGTTGATTTTAAGCTTTATTGCATTGTGGGCTGATAGAATATCATGGACTTATTTCTTTTTTTTTTTTTTTTTTTTTTGTTATTTGTTGAGATTTGTTTTCTACCCCAGTATGTGGTCAATGTTTGAGAAAGTTCCATGGGGGGAATAGAAAGTGTATTATTTGGTGCTTGGGTGGGAATATTCGGAAGATGTCTATTAAGTCCATTTGATGTATGGTATCAATTTATTCAGATGTCTCTATATAGTCTTTGTCTGGTTGACCTGTCTAATGGACACAGTGGGGTACTGAAGTCCCCTACTATTACTGAGTTGAGGTTAACCTGTGTCTGCTGAGGTCTTTTCCCCTACCCTACTGCAGAGCAGGAAGTTCCACCCCGGGGATGTGGGAGGGGCCTCATGTAATCCCAATTAGGGGGTTGGGTACTGTGTGATTTGGAAATGCGCACCACCACACATGGAGACAAGATCCAGGCACTCTCAGGAGGTCTGCTAAAGTCTCAGCCATTACCCTACTGTCATATAATTGTTTTTAAGTCTAAAACAAAATCATGTGTCTATTTATATATTTATCTCTACATGCCTGGAAGCACTGTAAAGATATTACTGGCTGTATTTGACTAATGTGATGCTAATGCTACTTCAATCTTTGTAGCACATCTGTACTTTTTATTTTTGACTGCTTTGAAGAACAGACCCCTACACTAACAAGTCTGCCCCTATCAGGAATGCCATCTCTCTACCTCCCATGTGCAAAGCAGAGGACACCCAAATACCAATGATCCCCATAAATTAGCAATGGTGACAAGAACCATTACAACAGGGCTCTGGTGAGTTAACAAATGGAAGCCCCTGAGGAAGATGTAGGGCATTGAGTAGCAAGCACCCCGTGTGACGTGTCCAGTAACAAGCCATGGGCAGCATCCCTAAGACATTGCAACAACCAAGCCATCCCCAGGAGCCCATCTGAATCCTAAGGAGATGAACAAGATTATCAGCAGTCGGTCCAGTAAAAACAATGGCTCTGGGAACCAACTGAAAAAGTTCATTTCTGTGCTACAACAAAGCTCCTTGCCCGTCCTCGGCACCCTCAGCTTCACACATGCTCATATACTTGACAAAATTCTATATCCTAATATCCAATAATACAGCTTATGTTTAAAATAACTACGTTTCTTCAGTTCCCTCAGAAACATGCTGGTACCTAGCAGATCCAAGATCTGAAATATAACTCCCAACTAAAAGATAGGCTCTGTAAGAGAAAAGCTCCTTCATTAATAGTCCCTTTGCCAGCACTGCCACAAAAAGCGTCTTTCTCCATCTGAAAGTAACCACAGTACATTTCTTTACAAGCATTCCTAATTCACATATTCCATTTACATGGTTTACTTCCCACCTGCCCAGTGACATAAGAAAAATTAGTGCTACTTCACTGCATTCAGAAAAATCTATAGATTACGAAGCATACAGTGAAGAAGTAACTGTTCCATTTGATAAAGGCTCAAAGGCACAGCACAGGAGAAAGTCCTGCACACACACACAGACACAGTCCACCACCATTAAGTACTTACACGGAATGCCGCAAGGATGATTCTTGTCACTTTCTCTTTGACAGATTCTTGAAGGATGTCAGACAGAACAGGAATGATATTATAGCGGCGAAGGTGTTCACACATTTGAGGACTGAATGCCAGGAGCCATATTGAAAAAATCATTTGATACTGAAGTTGGAAGCCACACTTGTTACTCAAAACTCCCATTATGCTAAAAAGAAACAGAGAAAACATTTAATATCAGCACAACAGAAAAGGAAATGAATGAGTCCACTCGTATGCTAATGGAACAAATCCCTGAACCACGTCCTTGGTCTCTTTTGCACCAGGCATAGCACTCAAGTATCTTGACTAGACTGTACCCCGTCAGAGTCATTCCCGGCACAGCAGCACCTGACCCTCTCTCTCCACAAGTCACAGAAACTCGGGAAGCAGGAGCATCGCTGCAGGGTGGCGATGATAAAGGGAAGCAAGTGCTAAGTGAAATGTGGAGACAGCTGAGAACTGGAGCCAGCAGGGAATGGGAGCAGAATCAATGCCAGCTTAAGGCAACTTTTTTCCCAGTGTATATCTTTATTTAAATTTGTGCCCTTCATACAAAACATCTTAATCACCTTCAGACCCCCTTCCTGATCTGCATCCTCCAAAATCTCCCCCTGCCACCGGATTTCATGTATTCTGTCATATATGTTAAGTCCTATCAAGTCAAGTTTGTACACCCAGATGTTTCTCAATACAAGTTCATCCACTGGAATCTAATCAGCCTTCTAAAGTCTCTCCCTAAGATAAGACCAACTCTCCCTCACCCAGCAGTAATCAGCTGCCAATACTTCTTCATCTAAGGTTGGGGCCTGCTGCCCATTTCCCCAGTTCTATGCTGGGTTTCTGTCTGATTACATGTGATTACATGGCCTTCTGCATGCTGACACCATTTCTGTTAACTTCATACAAGCAAGTTTCCAGAGGCCCGGAAGACTCTGTTTCCAACCCTGGCTCTTACAATCTTCCAGCCCCCTCTTCCACAATGGTCTCTGAGCTATCAGTGGGTGAGGTTAAATATAGGAGTCCTATCCAGGGACACACTCTCTACACTCTTATTTTCTACATTTTGCCAGTTGTGGCCTTCTGTGTGCATCACCTTCTGTTGTATGAGGAAGCTTCACTGATGAGAGTTGAGAAATCTTTACCCACTGTTCCGCTATGTTCATGAGTCTTAAGGCAACTTTTATATCAAGATTTTGAGCTTGGGCAACCAAGAGAAGAGCTTTAAGACGTAGAAAACTCAGAAAAAAGGGAGAAAATAACTTTGGGAAACCCGTCACAGCCAATCATGGAATTTGGTGCAGGGTGGGGGTGTAGAAAAAATGTCAGACACTTCTCACTTCATCTCTTACTTCACTGATAAAGAAAACTGAGAAGGGGGCTGGAGAGATGGCTCAGTGGTTAAGAGTACTGACTGCTCTTGCAGAGGACCCAGGTTCAATTCCCAGCACCCACATGGCAGCTAACAACTGTCTGTAACTCCAGGTCCAGGGGAATCTGACCCCCTCTTCTGACCTCCAAGGGCACTGCACAACACGGGTACACTTACATATATACAGGCAATACACTCATACACACAAAAGTTTTTAAAAAATAATTTTTTTAAAGAAGAAAGAAAACAGAGAACTCCACTGAAGTGAAAGGGGTTGTCCCAAAGGGGAGATAGTGTAAAAAGTGAAGGACATTTCCCTGGGACACACACACACACACACACACACACACACACACACACACCATTCAAGGAAGGCAGAAATCATCAAATAAGATAATCAAAAATGACCAGTGGAACTAAGGGGCTCAGACTCCACAGAATGCCCAACAGAGTCACCCCTAACATAAAATATGGCTCTTAGTAAGTGACCCAATATTGACTGATCACTTTGAACAAGTATATCACACTAACCCAAGATGTCAAAACAGGGAAACTGGTGAGAAGAGAGAAGATATGCATGCTTTTAATTTTTCTGTAAATGTAAAGCTGCTCTATTAAAGAACATTTTAACATTTGATAACCTACTATTGATGTAGACGTATATCTGTGCCAGCTGTCTAGTTTTGTGATCTTCTATTTTTTACGTGCATGAGTGCCTGCAAGTATGCAAGTGCACCTGTGTCATGCAATGCCCTTAGAGGCCAGAAGACGGCATCGGATCTCTTGGAACTGGAGTTGCAGGAGTTGTTAGCCACCATGCACAGTGTGGATGCTGGGAATTAGACCCAGGTTCTCTGGAAAAACAGCCAGTGCTCTGTGCTGAACACGTTTTTTGTGTTTGTAAACAGCTCTAAATTTACTTAACTATTCTCAATTTTCTCATGTGTTGTTTCTACCTGAAGTACCTTCCAGTTGTTATATAAAACTTGCTTTTATTAAATACTGTATCTCAACTGCAAAATAGTTTTTATATTTCAACAGCCTAGTATCTGATTTCCTTTGTTCTCTGTTCCAGTTACTAAACTAGGCCTTCTATACTATGTTTTTTGATGTTGTGGCTAATGGCCTGGACACCCATTCCTCTGAGGCACCAGCTTGATGCTAGGATCCAGGAGGGAACTAAAGGCTGCCTGTGAGGACACAGAAAGAAGGTGCAGGCCTGCTGGCTTTCTGCACCTGTGTCACAAGGTGGCACTTCCTTGTGAAGTAGTGCTCCGTTCCCATGGCAGTAGCCAATTCAGTGGCAGCTATTCCAGCTCTAACACACAGCCTCAGAGACACCATCACTAGTCAGCTGGGCCTTTCTTGAGAGGCCTGGGTCCCTTCATGAGCTTCTTCCTCAGGAATCACAGGCACCAACAAGAGGAGCAGACCCTCCTCAAAGGTCTAAATGTCATCTTCCCTTGCCCCTCCAAGCATGAACATTTCTGTGATGCTAGCCCCAGACCTACAGGTGGTCTTTGCTTTGGTTTCAGAACAAATTGTCATATTCAATTATCTACTAGTTTGAAACCACAGTAGAAATGTTTCAAAAGGAAGGTATCAACAATGATTAATCTTTTAGAGAAGTTCAAGGGAATTTAAAATTAAATACAATTCGTATGTTTTCACTGAAAGGATGAAGCAAAGGAATATTCTAATGAAGTAAAATTTCCTGCTTACCAGAACAGGGAAGGAATTCATATCAGAACAAGAACCCTGAATTCTGTGGAGTAGGAAAGCAGAGCAGGACAAGGGACACAGGACAAAGACCAGGACACATCCAAGTGCACTGCTTCAACAAGTAGTTGTTGAGGGTCTCTAAAGGAGGTGCAGTGCAAGGGCAGACAAGATCAAAGGGAGACAAGATGACACTGCGTATGCTCTCAAACAACTTACAGGCTAGCACAGTCAGAGGGAGGCCTGAGAAATGAATGGGAATTCATTGTTTAGATCTTGTTTTCCCTCATGATGGCAAGTTAAATGTGACTGCTCAGTCAAAGTACTGAAAACCTAACAGTCTGGGGAAGCTGACAAAGTCACAAGCTGAAGCTGTGGGACCCTCAAAGCTACTGTGAGGGGTTTTGATACTTTCTTACTAGGTTATAACCCTCTTAAAGGAAAGGCTGCCTATCTTCATATCCTCCATAATACTTAGCACAACATTATAAGGAAAGTTCAGTAGGTGCAAATTACTGTCAAATCTAACATTAGAGAGAAGGTTAGGCTCCATGAAGCCAGAAATCCTATTTAGTATCCTGTTTTTCAAGCAAGGTTTTAATTAAATCAAACAAATACAGGGAGCAGAGACAAAACAGGTGGCTTACTAGCTAGCGTGCATTTTCAGTAATCTGTTGCCTACATTCCCCTATCACACAAAAATGCATAATTAGAACTATTTTTCAAATCTTACTTTAAACTTAGTATGACTTTTTACTTTCAAAATATTTCAATTTGGTGTTATAAATGTTCACAAACACTAGCTGAATTTGTGGAGGCAATTACCCCCAGGAAATACCTACCTTAAGCTCTCAAATTTAAAAAAAAAAAAAAAAAGTCAATGCTAACTTTTAGGCTGCTAATACAGTTAACATGCAACACAATGAAAAATATAGTTCTCAGGTTGAAGAGATGGCTCAGCAGTTAAAGGCACTGGTTGTTCTTGCAGAAGACCCAGGTTCGAATCCCAACACCCACACGGTGGCTAACAACTAGCTGTAACTCCAGTTCCATGGGGTATGACACTTTCTTCTGTCTTCCCATGCACTGCACAACATGGGTGCACCTACACACAGCAGGCGTAACACTCATACACATAAAATTTTTAAAATGAAGAAAGAAAAATTCAGTTCTTCTATAAGAACATTCAAAAAATACTGTATCATGTATGCAATAGGCTTTTTTTTTAAGTCAGTACACTGACTAAAATGTATGGAATTGTTTTTATTAATCGATTATCTTCCTCTCTTCAAACAGGCTATACTTGAATTTTTTTCTCCTCACATTATTCCTAGTTATGATTTGAGAAGCATCACAAAGAAACAAAACTGTTCACTGCAAAAGAAAGACTACATATTTTATTTCTGGAAACAGGAAAGCTATTGAATACTTAATACTGTTGATTGTTCTTCAAAGTTAAGTATGATACTAGTGATGACCACACAGCACTTGATTCACCTCCACATACCAAGAGGATCCACTGGACCAATGTTTTGTACCTCAGTTTATTTTTGGAATAAAAAAGTAACTGTCTGTACAGATTACTATTTCATGACTTTCTTGTGGGTCCCCTGAAGAGGGAAAAAAATGCTTTCAGCTTAGCAGGATAAAATTCACTTTATCTTGCAAATAACCATATGGACCTACTGAACTTTCCTAAAGACCTATAACATATTATGTGATCTTGGTGATCTTGTGCCTTTTCATCTTACAGATATCATCTCACTAATTATAATATTTCACTAAGTATAACTAGCATGCAATTGTGAAAAATGAAAGCTGGAGCCACATGGACTATCCCAGGGCGATGATGTAATGGCATCATCGTCTTTTCCTATTACAGTGCCAAAAATCCTGCAACATCTTTTAGGAAGGTGAATGGGGCTGGAGGGATGGTTCGGTGGTGAAGAACACTGGCTGCTCTTGCAGAGGACCCAGGTTGGGCTCCCAGCACCCACATCAGACAGTTCACAACTGCCTATAACTCAGTTCCAGGGTATCTGATGCATCTCCTGGCCTCTGTAGACACTGCATGTAAGTGATACACTTACAGACAAGCAGGAAAAACACACATACACATTAATAAAAATAATTTTTAAAAAAATTTTAAGATGGAACACCTGGGTGTGGTGGTGCATGCCTTTAATCCTGGCACTCAGGAGGCTAATGCAGGAGGATCTTTATGAGATCGAGGCCAGCTTGGTCTACATAGCAAGTTCCAGACCAGTGAGGCTACATGGTGAGACTCTGTCAAAACACAAAAAAAATTAATAAAAAAGACGGACTGTCTTTGGGTTTCTGTTCAGAAAAGAGTACCAGAATCTTGAGAACGCTGGTCTTAGATAAGAGCAGCTCACTATGCTCATACAGTTTGCACAAATAATGTGATTTATGCTAGACAGCTACTGCTATGATTTGTATGTCAGTGTCCCTCCAAAATTCATGTTATAATCATAAACCCAAAATTGATAGCATGATCAGGCAGAGCTTCTGGGAGATTAGATCATAGGATAGAACCCTAAATGCCTTATTAAAAAAAAAAAAACCCTGAGAAAGGCCTTTAGCCCATCTATCTGTGAGGTCACAGTGAAAGACAGTCAACCAGAAACCAGGAAGTAAGCTCTCACCACAAACCAAATCCAACAGGATCAGGATCTTGGACTTCCCAGGATCTTGGATCTTGGCCACTAGAACTGTAAGAAATAAGCTGCAGCATTCTTAAGCCACCCCCACCCATGGTATTTTGGTTTAGAAAACTACTTTCCTTTTAGCACTCTGGATTTTCAAGATGTTATCAGCAGAGTGCCTATGCAACTAGCCTCCAGGGAGTCTTTTTTTTAATATTTTATTCATTATTTTTATTTTATGTGTATGAGTACATTGCCTGCATATATGGGAGTCCACCCATGTCATGCAATGCCATGGAGGTCAGAAGAGGGCTTTGGATTTCCCTGGAACTGGAGCTAAGGATGGTTTGTAGTCACCATGTGGGTGCTGGGAATCGAACCCAGGTCCTCTGCAAGAGCAGTCAGTGCTCTTAACCACTGAGCCATCTCTCCAGCCCCAGGAGCTGAGTCTTTAACAGTTCTCCTGGACAGAAACCTCACACAGATGTTGCTACATTTCCACTGTTGGGAAGATGCATTTCATATGGCCTCATGAGAGAGGGAGGCATGAGGAAGTTTCATGCTTTCTTCATGGATTCTTCCAAACTCAGATGTGTCTTCATGGTCCACCTGTCTATCCTTAGCATATCTCTACAATAAATCTTAGCTATAAGTACCAAAATCTGCCTACTCTCATAATAAGTCCTAATGAATCTCCCAACTCAACGTGAACATACTTGAGAACTGGGACATTTTTACTGTCCACCCACAACAGCAACTAACGGGGAAGGCATTTCACAGTTATTAAACAGAAGATGAAAGTAAAGAGTGAAGTACCACTTTATCCTCTGGCAATAATAATGAAATTGGCTATATAAGTGAAACTTTAAACTCTGAGAATTTAGATGTCTTTCTCATATTTTTTTTTCAAATTCAAGAACTGATCTAAAAGGAGCTGAAGAGATGGCTCAGTGGTTAAGAGTGCTTGCTCTGTAATCATCAGGACTAGATCCCTGCATCCACATAACTAGCAGGTATCCTTGCAAATGCCTGTGACCCCAGTCCAATGGAGTAGAGACAGGAGTTGGCTTCCAGGCCAGCTGAGATGTAAGCCCCAGGTTCAGGAAGAAACCCTGCCTCAGAGGAACAGCAGAGAGTGATCGAAGAGGACATAAGTTGCCCTGTTTTGGTCCCCACACAAACACACATACAGACAGACACAGACAGACCCACACAAACAGACAGACACAGACAGATACAGACAGACCGACAGACAGACCCACAGACACAGACAAACACACAGACAGACATAGACAGACACACACACACAGACAGACACACTCAGACACATACCACACACAACATTAAATAAACAAACAAAACTGATTTAAGGACAAAAAGAAAATATAGTATCCTCATTGAGAAGACCATCAACATGAAAGACTTTGAGACAATATTATGCAACAAGAACCTAGGGCCAGCAAGATGGCTCAGCGGGTGATGGCACTTGCTGCCAAGCCTGACCTGAATTCAATCCCCAGGACCCACATGGTGGGAAGAAGAAAACCAACTTCCACCACACATGCTCTGTGAAGCTAAAGTGTGTGTGCACACAATAGACAGGCAGGCAGGCAGGCAGGCAGGCAGGCAGACCAACCAACCAACCGACTGACCCACTGACAATTTTTTAAAAAAGAATCTAGTTCATTTTTGCTCAGTCATATTGTTGTTTTCTTTTCTCTTTTGTGGTATTTGTCTATCAAATTTTACTTAACACAACAAGGTTTACAATGTTTAAATTCTAATCTAAGTTATTTTACACTTTCTATTTTAGTTATGTTAATTTTTTCATAAAAGGACTAAAAAATATTTTAAGAGTCCATTAGATCTCATGAAAAACTGGAACAGCTATTATTAATTGAAGATGGGGTTAAATAATAATAAATAAATTGAAATTTTGCAAATTAATACAAGAATAATAACTTATTCAGCCAATGAAGACTAAATAATCTGTGACAATTTAAATCTAATTCCTAAGACTAGCCATTTGTGGAAGTAACACTAAGAAACTGCAGCAACTGTCTGCTAAAGAAGTCCAGAATCTCTGGGTCTCTTTTCATAGGTGCTCCTCACACCTGACATGCAACCCAGGAGTCCAACAGAGATGGACAACACATCATTCAATCAACCCCCATTCTAAATCCTCAATTACCAAACTCCCCTGTTGATACTGAGCTTCCTGTACAGATTTTCCAAGAGAAATGATGCTCTTACTAATTTAAAAGAGTATCTGGTTTAAAAGCACTTAGCTTTCTCATTAAGTATGAAATAAATTCGCTAAGGGTAAAACAGAATCTCCACTCTTTCGAGATCTTTTGGCATATAAGTTTGCCAAACCAAAGTAGACAAGTCCTCAAAGTTTCTATACCTGCTAATTAGGATCCCACAAAGCATGGAATTGTATGGCATTAGCAAGAATGATAGTTTATAGTCAAGCTTTTTTGCTTTGGGTTGTTTTGTTTTTTTCAGTAACACTTTTTCTTATTGATTTTTTGCCTGCATTTGCCAAAATACTTTATAATTATTTTATATTTGTTTTGTCCAGCATTAGGTTCTTAAGAGGCCTTAATCGTTTATAAAACATAGAGCAAACAAGGGAAAGGGAGATGCTCAGCTCAACAGGTACTGACTATTAAGGTTAACATAATCCACTGTTAAGCAGACATAAGAATAAAATACTTCTTTTAGAAGAGTAAATCTATTAATTTCTTTGAAAATGTCAAGGAAAAATGCTCTTAAATGTTACTGTACATAGAAAGTAAAGGACACTCACCAGTTCACCCCATCTGCTTCCACCCAGGCAAAGCGGTACTCATTGACCCGGAGCATCAGCTGAAGACACCCAGCAACACACTGCACATACTGAGAAGTCTACACAGGAAGACATGCACACTGTTAGATGGGAAAGTATTTTTCATCATGAGGCCAAGCACACACCTTTCTACATGAAGAGTCTGCCCTTCAGTAAAATCTGTTAGCATTAGAGCACCCAAAATCTTCCAACACCCTTTGGAAAGTCAGTCCTCAAGTCTGTTTTTATCTTTGTCTCTTAGAAATTAAGGTGATTTTTAGCTCCCAAATTAAATCTACACAATCCAAGATTGCTTAACTGTATCTTTGATAGGGTTTAATAAGCCTTTCACCTTTCCATTCACATGTCCTGGAACAGAGGCACTACAAAGAGAAGTATGCCCTCCATCATGACGCAGAAGAATAAAACAACAAAAAGAAGACAGGCCTATAACCAAATAGCTTTCAGCAAGTTACTGAAGCTTTAATGCAGACCTCAGTTTCTTCATTCTTGATGAGAATAACACTGCCAGAGGACAGCACCTGAAGGGATGTGGTGAGAGTTAAAGCAAACAATCCATTTAGCACACAGCTAGAAACATATTTGAAGCACAGTAACTGGAAACCTCTGGCTGCCATACAAAAATCTCTAACATCCTAGATGTTGTAAAACCAACATAAGAGCTGAGGGACTGTGGAGGTGGTTCAGAGGTTAAGAGCACTTGATACTCTCGCAGAGCACCAGATTCAATTCCTAGCCCCACATTATGTACCTCACAACAATCCTTAGTTCTATTTTCATGGATTAGGGTGCCCTCTTTTGGCATCCACTGGAAACTGTGTAATCGTGGTGCACATATAGAAAAGCACACACACAAATAAAACATTTTCTTGTGTGTGAAAAAAAGAAATATCTAACACCTGTAAAGGACAATCTGATTTTTTTTTTTTAGTTTTTTTTTTTTCAATTTTATGTCTATGTATGTGTGTTTGAGTATACATATGTGAATCACATGTGTATAGGTACCTGTGGTGGCCAGAAGAGGGCATCCAATCACCTGAAATTACAGGTGGTTTTAAGTCACCTGATGTGGTGGGTACTGGGACTCAAACTCAGATCCTCTGCAAGAACAGCAAGTGCTCTTAACCAATGAGCCATCTCTCCAGCCCCAGACAACTCTGATTTTTAAAGTTGTTAGTTCAATAACTGTATCTCATAGAAACTGTGTTTAAACCTGAAACTTGAAATAAATGAGAATCATACATCCTTGGAGGTTATAAACCCTTTACCACAGCTAGTAAAAACACATAGTCTGGGCTATTGTCTTAATATTTACAATGAGTGTTATGTCTCTAAAAAATGAAGAGACAAAAGAAAATTTCAAATTCTAGCCTTTATAAAAAACAAACAAAAAAATTTAAAGGAATGACAGCTATCCTAAAAATTCACAAAACCTAAAATGTATGCTGCTATTAAACAGTGTTTTAACTGAAACAGTACTTATAAACACTATGAATCCAACACTTAGAAAGAAATTTGAGATACTCACATACAAGAACACAATAATGTAGGCATATTTGGTAGAAAAAGACAAATGCCATAAAGAAAACGTTACCTACCTTACTTCTACCTAGAAAGTAGTGAACATATATTCATGAATATAATTTACCACAAAACACAGGAGAAGCGGGGCATGATGACTCACACCCATAATCTTAGCACTTGAGAGGCTAAAGCTGGAGGACTGCCACGAGTTCAAGACCAGCCTGCACTACATATTTTGTCCCAGGCCAGCCTGGGCTATAGAGAATGGAACTCTTGTCTCAAAAACCACACACACATACACACAAATACATTAGCAAAAATTAATGACAAGTAGTATATTTTCATCTCTAAAACTTCCACATTAGGAAAAAAAAAATGCATTTTCCCAATTAAGTGTCAACAGGTAGAAACTTCTAATGAAAAAGACGAATCCTATCTTTCATGTTCAGAGGAAGAATATATGCAACATTTCTGGACAAAATGAGCAAAGGGCACCAATGGCACTCCTGCCTCTTCTATTTGACATATCAATTTTTCTCTCAAAACACAAATTCCTTGGTCCGCCTCAGTCTTTTCTGTGCCCATTCATCAGGCTACACTGGAATAGCTAATACATACAATACATTACAAGCATGGGCTCACGTTGTTCATTTCAGCTTTAGTAAGCGTTATGACACAGGTAACATGCTGGTCCTACAGCTCAGAAGGTTCTCCCATAGCAGGTCCTGTACCGTCTCAAAAGCTACTCTTACAGTGGTGACACAGTGAAGGAAATGGCAGAACTCTTTCTTTCAATTCAAATGAACTGCCTCTGTTCCTTTGCTTTCCCTTAAACTGTTGATAGTTTCATGTTATGTATAATTCAGTCTTTTAAAGAAAATTTAATCAGTCTCAGCTCAATCCAGCCAGTCCCACCACTAATCCTGAAGGAAGGCAATTCAGTCCTACTAGAAAAAAAATCATATGACCATGCGAAGCCATAAGCACTCTAACTTGTTCTCTCTCCCACTCCCACAGGTACCCTCTTCCTGTTCCACTCTTCTTCTAGGCTGACCAGAGAAAAACAGAGACCATGCCTTAAAGATGCATTTTGCTACAAACATCTCACCACCAAGCTGATCCACATTTGTAGCCATCCTTCCCTTACTCTTACCTGGGTACAGATGCAAGACCCATAGCTTCAGCAAGGTCTGTTTCCCCTTCCTCCCACTTTGTGCTCCACCACTCAGAAGAACCCTCTCCCCTGTGCTTACTCTCTCCTTCCTCATACTTTCATAGGACAGTTAAGTAAACCTGAGCTCTATCCTGTCAAAGGGCTATGCTTGGCCCTTCTAGACAGTGTACAAGCTTGCTGAAATAATTGACTGTGAAACTGCTGTTTAATGCTGTCTTCCCCAGACAAGACATGGCCCTCCGAAGGTAGAACTGTGCCCATGTTGCTCAGAGGCACGCTTTCAGCACCATGCATTGTATCTAGGAGGCACTCAATAAATGTCTCTTGAATGAACATACAAAACATGGTACAAATAAACTTTTCAAATTCCAAATAAATGCTGCCATAACAGAGATGATGTAATCATCTAAAAATCTCATCAAATTTTCTATACAAAATTTTGATATGCAGAAATACATACAAAATACAGCATTAGTATTCTTTCTTTTTGGAACTAGGGCTCAAATTGTTTAAAGTATTTCCTAAAGCAAATACGATCTCATAAAATCTTTTTTTTCATATCACAAAACATGACAGCAATGTATTTTTTTCTTTCTTTTTTGGTCTTGAAGAGTGGGTGCCCCCTCCCCCCCATTTACAGCTGCAGTAGAAAGTCCACACTCAAACATGGATTCTGTGACTCCCCGACAGCTGCATAAAACTGCAAGAGAGATGCCTCATGGCATTCTTGGCTTATATATCCTTAGACCCTCCCCCACGTGCAGCTAAGATCAGCTGATTGCATGGGAGAAATAAATGACTCCCCCCTTGACTCCTTGATGAGTGTGGGAAGGAGGTGTGACTATAGCTTTCCAGCATAGTAGTTGGAGTACACTTCCAGGTCACACTCCACCCCTCCCTCAGGCTCTTACATTCTTTCCACCAACCTCTTCCACAAAAGTCTCTGAGCCCTGGAGGGGGTGATAGGGTGGAATGATCTTCCTCCTATTGTGGCAAGGCACTGAACTTTCAGGTCTCTGCATCACCTGTTTTCCATGGGCTGTTGGCCAGTTTCAGTGGGATTCCATCACCACATGGAGGCTGGATCCGGGGCTCTCAGGAGGTCTGCTGAGGTCTCAGCCCCTACACCGGGCAGAGGCCAGATCAGGCACTCTCCTCTATTTTTAAATTTAGTTCTCATTTTGAGAACTAAGATAAATTGCTAATCAGTTTTTAATTTATTTACTTATGTCATCTCCTTCACTAGGAAACTTCTTTAAAAAGATTTATTTTTATTTTATGTGTATGAGTGTTCTGCTTGCATGCATCTAAGTATACCATGTGCATGCGATGCCTGAAGAGACCAGAAGAGAGCATCAGATCCCCAGAAACTGGAGGCTGCTTGAGTGTCTGTAGTGCTGACACTCGAACCCAGGTCCTCCACAAGAGGAGCCAGTGCTCTTAACCACTGAGCCATTGCTCCAGTATGAGAGCTCATCCTGCTAGATAGTTTCCATTTAAACTGTTAAGGTAATTCACTTCTCCAGTAACAAAATATTACTTGTATTCAGACTGACTAAGCCAAAATATTCAAAAAAGAGGTTTTAGATACTCAATGTATTATTTTACAGAATACTCATAATGTCACTCAGCCACAGCTCCTTGTTCATTGTAAAGATTTTATTATTTTCTATAATCAAAACAGGTTTTTCTAACCCTCAAACTAAAAACATGATAAAAAAGAAAAAAATTATTTTTACAAAACAGCTTATTAATATGTATAGATTTTTCAAAGTACTTTCAAATAAAAATAGAAATTATGTATTAAAAGAAAAAAATTTAATAAATGATAAGTTTAAGGATCCAAATAGCTTATTACTATCTCAGTCATTTCTTAAGAAACCCAAGGGTTAATAAGTGATTCAATGTTTTAAAATTGAAACAGTGAGTTAAGAGAAAAAAGGAAAGCAAAAAGCATCCTGTGAAGGACAGAAAGGACAATATATATTAGTGAGGAACCTCTCCTAATACCCAGAACATACATAAAACAAAAAACAAAAAAAGAAGGACAACAACACCTCGGGCTTCGAGGAAAACTTACAGCTAATCCTTCAGTATGTCCAAATTCTGGACAACAGCAGTTAGTATTTGACAATAAAGACGGTGAAACATGTCATTTCCACATTCATACATTTACTATTACAAAAGACATGTTTTGATGGAAGGGAAAAGGAGAGAAGCATCTTAATTAAGCATCTATCATGTCTACATGGAAACATGTCTAAGTCTACAGACAACCTTCTAAGTCTGTACTATCCTGTGCGCAAATAAGGATCAGAATTCCAATGGGAAGGGATACTTTTCCAAGTCCATATAAGTAGA